TGATTTCTTGTAAGTATTTAAACTAGATCTTCAATCCATATTTTCAATCATCAATTCAATTGTTCTTCAAATAAATATTTCTTGGTTAACTACACTTACGTTGGAAATTAACTAAGTAGTCTGATATTGCATAAATATAATATTCAAAAAATAAAAGTAAATCCAGATCCTGAAAATAAAGAGTTTTCAAAAAACCTATTCTTCCTTCATATTGTTGTTCAAGTCATCGGTTCCTTGTGGATACAATCTAGAAATTCTGAGTAGTAAACTTGACCACCTACAATTGGGTGTACCTTTGAGATTCAAGCAAATTTTTGGCGTTGTTATCGGGTAGTGAAATCAATTGGGAAGAGTAGGAGAAGGAATCCACCTTCACAAGTCGATTTACTTGGAGACACTTTTGGGTAAATTTGTAATTATAATTTATTTTATTCATGCAATTTTGTACTTTTTTTATTTAGAGTAGTTTTCAATTTTTTTATTAGTGCATGTCTAGTGAGGAAACCAGTAGTCCCCATCGAGACAAGACAAAGAGTTCATAGGTTTTGCAGGTCCATCGTGTCCTTCCGGGTATCAGTCCCTTGCCTTCCCTACATTTTACCTTAGTAGAGTCGATAGTTCAATGGGTTATTGAGAAGAAGAAGTTGATGGTCAACAAGGTAGAATACTTAGGGATTATCGACACCCATCCACAATAGTATTTCTTTATGTTTCATACTTCTAGAGAATGCTCAAAATTTCAACATCAAACCTAGTTTTATCCAGTTGTTACATCAATTCCATGGACTAGAGTCCAAAAAAATGTACCCACACATCAAAGAGTTTGAGGAGGAGCGTGGTACATTTAAAATACATTTCAAGATCATTCTGAGATACCTCGTTAGAATTTTTTTCCTCTCTCACTAAAGAGTGATACTAGATGTGGCTTAATTCCTTGGAATTGCAGTCTATAGCCTAGTGGTAAGATCTTCAAAAAGATTTTTTTTTTTTTTTTAAATTTCTTCCTTCTTCATAGCACCAATGCCCTAAAGTGTCAAAGTAATCTAGATTTACTAGAAGAAAAGAGGAAAAAAAATCACAAGTAAGAACTGCACCATACCAACACACAATGACTAGATACTATAACTTTAGGTTTAGGCCACGTATATTCCTCCCAAACGATTTGATCTTGAGGAAAGTAACCCCAGCTACAAAAGATGCCAAGGACGGGAATTTGGGGACAACATGAGAAGGGCCATACCTAGTCGTAAAGACCTTGAGGCCTGTAACTTATCACCTAGAGACTTTAGGTGGAGTCAAGCTAGCTCACCCTAGAGCGTGGAACACTTTAAGAATTTCTACCATAAAGTATGCTTTTCCTTTGATTGTAAAAAGGCTTTCTTAGCCTCTTAGCTAGAATTAATAAACATGTCATTTTTTTACAAGAAAAATTGTAAGTCTTAAAATCTTTTTGGTTCTGCATCAAAATGGAATCCACTCTTGTTTGATTGGATTAAAGAAACTAGAAAACCATGTCACCTAGCTTGGATTGAACCTAAGAGGTTTATTAAAAGCTCAAGGCCACTTGCCTAGCTTGGATTGAACCTGAGAGGTTCATTAGCTTCTTAAGGCACCTCGCCTAGCTCAGATTGAACCTAAGAGGTTCATTAATAGCTTAAGGCACCTAGCCTAGCTCAAATTGAACCTAAGAGGTTTAATAGTTGTTTAAGGCACCTTGCCTAGCTTGGATTGAACCCTAGAGGCTCATTGAATGTAAAATCCGGGTAAATTTGAATTTTTGTGAAAAAAGACAAAACGATAATTTACCACTACGGTTTGGTTGAAAACCTTATTTTTTTTTAGAACTTGGATGACCAAATGGACCTCACCGTTGGATTTGTCTCGCGAAATCTAGCTACCTAGTCAATTTTTGTTGAATTTTGAGACAGTCAAATTTTTTGTGTTTTACGAGGCAATCGAGTGTCGCGTGACCTAAAAACGAGATTTAAAATAAATTTTTAATAGTTGAAAAATAATTTAAATAAATTTTATATAAATATTTTAAACTTGAACTAGAACGAAATTTTTTTGTTTCAGGATGAAATCGGATTTGGGAATGGAGAACGTGTGTGGCGCGATAAGGAACAAACGTTTAAAGGGTATAAATAGGGGAAAAAAATTAGATTTCTCCGCATACCCATCAGATTATCTAAAAAATCAAAAGAAGAGAGGGAAACTTCACATTCTCTCTACATTGCCCGAATCGACTCAAGCCAAAAATAAAAGTTGTTTTCTTCGTCGAGGGCTACAAAACCATACAAAGAAGGCAGGATTAGAGTGAAATTACAAGGACGGATTTTGGGGAAAGCTTGGATTAGAGCTTTTTTTGGGTTCTTGGAGCTTCCTACCATTGTTTTACGCTTCAAGAGGTAGGGGTCTTTCCCTAATTAGGTTTATTTTCAACCTAGGGTTCCATATGATATGAGTAACAAGACTTGAGATGAATTCTCTTGTTTAATGTACTCCTAGTGTAAATAAAGTGTGGGAAATGGGTATAGAAATATGCTAAACCAATGTTGCATGAATTGAGTTTGTAGAATGTAGATGTTTGGTAAATTCATGAAAAATATAGGTACTTGAAATGTGGGAAATGGGTATTAAGAATGATTAAAATTAATTCTAGCATGAATTGGGTATGTAGAAATTACTTGTGATTCCTTGAGAAATTGAGCATATTATGTATTTATATGATTTGGTGCCTTGAAGGTGTTTAATTAAATGTCTATCTGAATTAAGTGTGTCATTTGCATTGATTATATTATAACATGCTTGGAATTTGTTATTGGAAAATGTTGATATATGCATATGGTATATTGACATTGAGGTTATTTTTGGTGGTCATATGTTTATGATGTAATTTACCATGGAAAAATTTGTTGGATATTGAATTCTTCAAAATGTTCTCATGACATATTGAACACAGTAGTGTTATTGCAATTGAGATCCTAGTTGCATAATGACATGAAATGCAACTGTATATTTATATTGCATATGCACGGGTAACATTAAATTCGTGGGCGTTTGACATGAGTGTGGATGTATGTGCATGGTTTGATCAAACACCCTTTGTGAATGATACGTGGGCTCGGGATTTTCAATTGAGTCGCATGGTTTGCACTAAAAAAATAGGGTCAGGGTTAGTAATAAGGGCTAGATTCTTCCTCCGGTACAAAACCCGGTGATTCAGATGAGCACTCCGTTGGTATTGAGTACATAAAGTGTGTTGGCATACGTAGAGTCATTGGTGGAAGTCCATTAATGTTGTGTTGGTTGAGTGTCCATTGGTGTAAGTCCATAAATACCCACCCCAAGGAAGATCTGGGATTTAAAAAGGTCATTGGATGTATAACATCAATGACAGTGGCTTGGAATGACCAAATTCATATGCATGGCATTGCATGTGTTGAGGGAGTCGGTAAAGTTTCGGGTTGAGTTGCATGTGTGAGTCTCATCTAATATCATGCATGACATTGAGGATTTCATTGTTGAATTGCATATTCTTGAATGGAGTAATTGTTTCTTGTGAATTGCATGTGAGTATTTCATATGCATCTAAGTTGGGGAGTAGACACTTTAGGAGATATCTTTTTGAGCGTGACTCACCCTTTATGGGGACAATATTTCATGTGTGGAACATGCACCAGTGGACAGTTCTCATTCGGGCCCTCATTGATGAAGAAAAGTCAAAATGTGGCTTTTAACCAATACTTTTGTAAAACTAAGATGTCAATTAGTTTTTGGGCACGTAATGTATGTAAAGGATTGTAATCAAATTCATATGGACTATTTTTAATGTAAAATTTCATGTTGTTAAATGAGTATGGATAAATAGACCCGATGTGGTCAATATTGTATGATTGCACTAGTTGTGTTTAGGGTAGAGCTCCCTGTACAAAGGAGACTCTACAAGAATTTTGTTAAATTATGGATCCCAGTAAATAGGGCATACGGTGTGGTATCGAGTTATACGGTATTCACGGGTATTATGCGGGTTGATTGATGATCAACAGGGTAATTACGAACACCCGCATTTTGGGGCGTCACATTGGAAGCTCAAGGTCTTGCTAGTTGTACCAAAAATGTTCACTAGAAGCTCAAATATATGCAAATTGTTCCTAACAAGGAAAAGAAGTAGGGAGAGATAACTTGATTTAACATCAAAAGTACTTGCTAAAAAAGAAAGAAGAAGGAAATTATAGTCGTAAAAGAAAAAGAAAAGAAAAACCAGTCTACTTTCTCAACTGGAAGGCGCTCCTCTACTAAGTCCTTCGTATGGCCTTTCGTCTCAACCCTAGAATTGATCTGGTCTTCAAGATCCACAACAGTTGTGCTAGTGGCCTCATTACCAGCCTCCTCTTCATTCTCTCCTTCCTTCTTAATGATTGAGGTAGGATCATCCTGAAATTGGATTCTTGAGAAGTTAAGCTTGGAAATGCAAGCATGCCTCTAGTTTTTAAGTCCTCAAAGCCGTTATTATAATACTCGAGCATCTCCTTCTTAAAATCAAAAGAGTGTTTGTATTCCTTCACTTTTGCCATAGTAGTAACCTTAACAGCCTCGGCAAGCTCAAACTCTTTCTTTTCTTGAACATTGGAGAGCTTGGAATCCTTCTTCTTCAAAGCAAAAGAGAGCTCGGAGACTTTGAGGGAAAGTGCCTCTTTCTCCTCTACTGCCTTCTTTACCTGGGAATAAAGGTCCGAAATGGCACTTTCAGAAGTAGCGAGCTTCAAATCCTTCTTGCTGTCCAAAAACTTGTTCCTATCCTCCATTGCCTCATTTGAAATAAGTGTTATCTTCTATTCTCCTTTAGCTCTTAGAGGACCTTTTCTTGGGAAGCCACTAAGTCGTTCTGTAGCTTCAATATCTTCTCCTCAAATTGAAGGAATTCTTCTACACAAGACTTCCTCTCAGCCATAGCTATATAAGAGAAGCTAGTGCAAAGGATGGCCAACTGCAAAGAATAAAGAGAAGATTAGCATCCTATTTCTATGGGAGGCTATGTAAAGAGGAAAGAACAGTCATAACCCACTCAGGCCCCATTTTGAAGATAGCCCAAACTTCCCTATCGTCAACAAATCTAAGGAGATGAACTCTGGCCTCCTCTTCGATCCCCCACATCAAAGGCCTAGACTCTTTAGAGGTCTGTTTCTCTGCAGTCTTAGTTTTTGAAAGTTTTCTCTTCCCCTTATCTTTGGAAGGAGTAGGAAGAGAGTCGACAAGCAGCAAAGGTATCTTGGGTATAGGTGAGTCTTCCTTATAGATGATGGCAAGGCCCAACCCTTTATTAGATGGGATGCCAGAGCTCAGAAGAGTAACAAGAGGGGTTAGAGGGCTGGAGGCTAGAGGTTACAGCCTTCGGCTTAGAAGAAGCTAGCCTTGGATTTTTGTGACAAGGGGAACCCTTCCTAGCTCTCTAGTTGATTTAATCTCCTTTTAATAGTTTTTTGTCAACAACTATGGGAGCCGTATTTGTAGGAATACATAAGTCAGAGCTCAAATTTAAAGAAAAAAAAAAAGAAAGAACAAAATATAAGTTTACTACTTAGATGAGAAGGACTATGTGTAAAGGGCACGATAATAGCAATAGCTTTGGGGGTAGGACCTAGCTAGCACTCGAACAAGGCTTGATCGGTGACTAGGTCAGGCAAGCTCTTGGTACAGTAAGCTAAAGCTCTCTTAACTCAAAGCTTGAGTTCAGTAGGAAGAGGACCAAAGTTGCCTTTACCAAATAAATACATTAAGACAGAGTCACCAAGTGAAGAAATAAAGAAAAGAAAATAGTAACTCACGAAGAGAGGGGGTGGAGATCCCCCCATGCAAGAAACCAAAAGAGGTATGCTAGAGAGTGCCTCAGCATGGCTGAACTTCCAACTAGGCCTGGACATAAAGAAAATTTTGTCCTTCCATTCCTTCACATCAGAGAAATAGCTGGTAAGGAGCTTGTTCTTCTCTCTTTTGAAAAGTTAGAACCACCCTTTGCTCTACCCAGAGCAGGTTATAAGTTTGTAGCAATGGAGAAGTTCTACTATGGTAAGGCGAGTGCCCACACCATTGGCTCTTGCCCAAAAAATGCCAATACCAACTAGAAACCCCAAGTTATTCGGATTTAACTTAGAAGGGACAAGATTTATATAGTGGAGGGCTTCTTTGATATACTTAGGCATAGGTAATCAGAGACCACTTTCAAAAAGTGACTCGTAAAAGCAAACTTTGTTGGGCCCAAAGGAATCAACGGTTTCCTCTAAGGAATGAAGACACTGGTGAACAAAGTCGAGGATCTAATAGACCTCCCTAATTTCATTCAAGTTTTTTTGTCAAGAGAACTCTAAAATTACTTCGCTCCCACAACAGTAATAGATTAAGAAGAAATGTCCATAATGGAGTCAAGAACAAATGATGGAGAATTTTCAAGAAGAGTTTTCTCCAAATCACTCTTAGTTGTAAAATAATAGTGGTTGATGCACAGATTAGAAGGAAGACAAGTGTAGCTATAAGAAAGAAGAGACAATAAGAAATCAGAGATGGATTTGAGTCAAGTTTGGGAGGGTTGATTGACATAAAGGTTGAGGTGATCAAGGTCATAATATTTCCACTCAAGAAAAGAGAAAAGGTAATGGAATAGAAAAAGGTGGCTCCAACCTATACACTCTAGCTTGTAAAAGAAATCAAAGATCAAGGGAGAGGGAGAGGCATACTTGGGCTCTTGGACAAGTTCTTGAAACGTATTGGACTCTGATTGTAAGATGTGTTTAAACACTAGCCACACAATGGATTTTTAGTGATTACATCTGCATGAACTACATCGCCACTTTCCCAAGCACTAACGGATTGAAGCATTAAATGCGGACCATGTAATGTAATGTTGAATTAAACTGGGGGCAACACATGGCTGGAAAAAAGGCACATGCTCGAATTGTCAACCTCCATAACTCGGACTAGTTCTAGCTCGCAAGCTACCTAGTCCTCTAGCTTGGTATAGTCCAAACCTATAAGCACTTTGACTAGTGCAACTCAACCACTACCTCTACTTAGCCAGTCAGACAAGGTCAAAGCATGTAAAGCGTAACTATCTCAGTTCAAATAGGTGGAGGATGATGAGTTAGATAAGTGAATCTATGACACCCCTAAAATCGAGGGTCTCTTTTCAACCGTTGACCACTCGCTAACCCGCGAAAATACCCGTGCTTGTCGCACGACCTGACATCATGTTAATCGTATGCCCTTAACCGGGATCATAATCTACACGTATAACCCGTGTTCCTTTAATCATTTAAATCAACGGAGGTCCAATGTGCCTCAATATACCTCATTTAATGTCCATTTGTATCATTGGAACTAAAGAAAACAAAGCTCAAAAGGTTGGCAAAATAATTTTAAATTTTCAAAAATTTTTTTGGAAGAGCTACCAGTAGGTGTTTGTTAGATCTACTAGTAGAAGTTCTACCTGTAAGCTACCGGTAGCTTTTTCCTACTGGACAGGTACTACCTGTTAGCTACCGGTAGCTTTTTCCTACTGGACGGATACTACCTGTTAGCTACCGGTAGGTTTGTCTGCTAGACAGGTACTACCTGTTAGCTACCGGTAGATTTTGCCCAGAATTTTATGTTTCATCAGTTTTTCATTTCCAATTCATCCCAAACCTTCCCAAATCCATTCAAAGCATGTATAATGAAGTTTTCTACATTATACACGATGCATAAGAGTTCTTTTACATGCCATTTACATGGTTACATGTCAAAATGAAATTTTAACAAAAGTTTACACCAAACTTGTATTCAAAAGCCACAACCCGGCTTTTCTTCATCCAAGAGGCCCCGAATGCAAGCCGTCCGTCGAAGTATGTCCCGCACCTGAAATATTTCCCGTATAGGGTGAGCCGACACCTAGTAGAATGTTTCCTAAGTGCATATGCAATGTTCATATGCAACATTTAACCACAACAATCATTCCAACCAACACTTAAGCAAGTCAAGGTTGGAATCTAACATACCATGCCATGAATTGAGATGATACCCATTCATGCAATTTGCCCGAGCCCTTCTTGGCTCCACTATACATGCAATGCCAATGTGTATTAATACCGAGCTTTTCTAGCTCCGACTATTTACCTTCACCCCATGCTATGCAGTGAGTATCAAAACCGGGCTTTCCAAGCCCCCGCCATTTATGTTACACACCCAATGGCTAACTAAAATCTCCGGGTCTTTCTTGGGGTGGGTATTTATGGACTTATACCAATGGTCACTCAACCAACACGAAATTCATGGATTTCTACCAACGATTCCGCGTACACCGACACACTTTATGGGCTCTTATACCAACGGAAGTGCGTATCCAAATACCAGATCTCTCACCCGAGGGATAGTCTAGCCCTTCTTGCTACCCCGACCCAATTCTTTTTCATGCAACCGTGCGACTCCGCCAGATATTCAATCCAACTTCCCCGAGCACACCCATCATCCGCCTACATGGTGTTTGATGCCAACCATGCACCCACATCCATAAAATGCGATGTCTACGTGCATATGCAATGTAAGGCATCATTGCTATTTCAACATCATGCCCACATGTAATGAATGCCACATGAGCAAAATTAACTACAGTCAAACAAGTTCTAAGGCAATTTATATCCGGAGCATATAATTACCAAACTTTCTCATAATGCTATATATCAATGAACATATATCCACATTTCATTTTCAAAAATAATTCACAAGCATGTTATTACATAACATATGCTAACAACATACTTAATTCTCAAGGCATACAATAAACACATAACATGCCCACATAACCCCCAAATTCCATGGATTACATTGAGTCTAATTCATAACTCATTTCAAGGTAAAATTTTATTTTACCCTATTTCAATTCTCATTTCATCAATTTTCACAACATAGGTAATGATAAAATCTATTTATCAACATACTCATTACATACTACACCCTAGGTTGTAAATAAATCCGAGTAGTAAGGAACCCTACCTCTTAAAGCATGAAGAGCGACTGTAGGAAGTCCCCAATAACCCGCTCCTAGCTCGAATCTTCTCCTCCCAAAAATCTCGTTTTTCAACCTTCGGTGAAAATTCTCATTTTTGGTGCATAGGCGTAGCCCTTGACGAGGAGATCAACTTTTCCTCTTGGGCCGAGTGGATTTGAGCGACGGAATGTCGTAGATCGTAGAGAGAATGTGGAGGATCCAAGCTCTTTCCCTCTCTTCTTCTATCGGCTAAAGGCTGGACACAAATGGGGCAAAAAAAATCAGATTTTACCCCTATTTATAGTCTTAGAATACTTGGCCCATATTGTGCCACAAGTCCCTCTTTTCCCAGGACCGTTTTCACCCCAAAACAATTAAATTTTGTCTCAATTTAAGTTCAAATATTTGTATTTTAAATTACATTTAATTATTTCCCAACTTTGGAAATTGTATCCAAAAATCTCATTTTTGGGTCACCTGAGACTCAATCGTCTCGTAAAACACAAAAAATTAGACTATCTTAGAATTCGATTAAATTTGGCGTGGTAACTAGATTTCACGAGACGAATCCAACGGTGAGGTCCATTTTGTCATCCGAGATCTAAAAAAATTCAGATTTTTAACCCGTACTATAGCGACAAAATTATCGTTTTGCCCTTGTTTACAAAAGTTTAAATTTACCGGGTTTTACAGAATCCAACACCAGTACTAGCTTTATGAAGCACTTCAATTCTCTTTCTCTAACTTAGCCATCAGAGGGTCGATCCCTGAAGCTCCTCTGGTCTTCAACTTATCCTTACAGGTATCTACCAAGCGATTGAGGCATGAAACTAAGTGATCGAGACATCTGGAGCTCGCTGAATGCTTTCCGACATCATCAAGATTCATATTTGATTACATCATAGAAACATTATGAAATAATTTGCTGGAGTTTC